ATATTTTGTTATAATTCGTATGTATGTGTATGTATATATGTGTGTATGTATATTGTATATATATATTTATTTATTTATTTATTGAAAGAGATCCTAATTAATTTTTATTGTGCAAAACCTTGACTGCGAATTCACATCAAGTCAGCCGCATAAAAGTATAAATAACATACTTACTACTTTTATTATTGTCATAACTATTTTCACAACTTTGCATAATGTATTCTGAATCAATAATCGATTTCCTTGCTTATCTTCAAGCTTGACTCAATTGGAATTCCAAATGTTCGATTTTCCTGGCTTGATCATGAATGATATGCTTATTTCTCTCTGCTTTCTGAAACATAGAAAAGATAACTTCTAATAACCATTATATATGTCAAAAATCAGATGTTTATAAACTGTAATAAAGTGTAAATAACTGTGTATAACAGTTAGCAAGAATTCATTTTTAATACTTTCAGCTAGACAAAGAAAATTATTTCCGACTAGGTTTACACTAGTAAACAGCTTAACAATCTTTTTATTATTTTCAATTGTATATTATCTTCGTCAAATTCTTGCTTACTTTCAGGAATTTTATTTGTAAATTTATCTTAATGTTTAAACTTAATTTTTAGGCCCCGGTCACATACGGAATGCGGACGAATGCGGACGCGAATCGCAACTCTAGTAACATCACTAAAAATATCTAGTTCGATTATTTAGTACCAACTCTACCGGTAGTGAACAAAAGTGACTGTTGTTTAAAACTGTAGCGCCGAACGTACCACATTTAATGAACGCCTATCTAACTTTTACATTATTGCAGTCTATAAGATGGCAAATGATAGAGAATTGATAGACTTTCAACTACAATTAGTGGAATTAGGCCTTAATTTTATGGAAGTACTTGAATATATGAGAAGAAGAAGAATATATATATAAATGATATGTATTAATCATCCCAAAAGCTTTTTTTACATTAGCATACTCATCAATAAGCAATATTCATGAGAATTTGAAAAGTAAATTGTAGACCTGACATTTGAACATTAAATGTGGTATGTTCGGCGCTACAGTTTTAAACAACAGTCACTTTTGCTCACTACCGGTAGCGTTGGTACTAAATAATCGAACTAGAGGTCCTCGCCACATATGCGCATACGCGCGCGTACGAGGGCCTAAGAGCGAGAATCAGTGAATTAGAATCGCGATTCGAAACGGAGATGTGTATTACTGGGAGAAATATGCGTAAACCATTCAACAATTACTATTTTTATTATTTACGATTATATATTTTCTTTGTCAAATTTTTGCTTGCTCTCGGGAATTTAATTTGCAATTTTATCTTATAGAATTCGAAATTAATTTTTATAACGTATTATTGTAATATTGTTACATAATATGTGTATACACTATATAGGCTATATTGTTTTTTATCATTGGTAAAATAAATTAAATCGAGTAATAGAATAATTAAAATTAATATTAAATAAATTAAAATAATAATAAATTGAATTTAGTAATAACAATAAATTATTTTCTTACATGTGCATTTTTCAAATAACAAAATTATATGTATATCTGCATTAATCTTGTCATTTATTTTATAAAGTTCCTTTTTGTAAAAAGATTTTTAATTAATTTTATTGTTGCAGTTGTAATATAATAAAATACTTATTTAAATATCACGAGGATTTTTATGCCGAGCAACAACCATTTTTACGCATGCACTATACTATATAGGATTCATGTCATTTTATAAGTGTCACGATAATTCTGTAAACGTCCTATGAAACCAACAGACGACTGATTCATGTGAAACGGACCTAAGGTTATTGATTCCAACATATATACTAGTATCGAATACAGATGCGTCTATAGATTCGTTGGTACCAGTCACAATTATAGTAGTGAGTATAGTTGTATATATAGAAGTATCTAAGGATCAAAAGGTTTTTTGCAATGAAAGTAAGTACAATTTCTTTCTAAATTAATGTACTATCAATACAAATTAAATTCCAATCAAATATAACCTTGTTTATAAAAATTAGTCTCGATTTTTATGTAAACATGGCCTTGTAGGTTACTTCAGAGAAAATAGAACATTGTAGGATATTAACTTATTATTGAAATATTTTAATGCTATGAAGTGTAATTAAATTGCAAGATTAAATTGTACAAGAATTAGCTTTCATTGAATCCTTAGCTCTTTTATTAAAAAAATAATTTAGCTTATATTATTTATTTGTTCTCCAATTGATGTGATTTTTAAAAAATTTTGAAAATCACCACGATAAAGTTCATTTGTTCTTAAATCTTTACAATTGTTTCTAATAATTGTATACTGTAGATCACTTTCCATTTCTGAGCTATGCAGCTTTAGAGAAAAAAAATATTAAGTGTATTTACTGTATTAATTTGGGAAATTATAATATTTAAAGCATTGTACAACTATTTGTTCTAAGATGCATAATTCAACTTTCATTTGATACAGATTCTTTAATTAGTATAAACTGCACTATAGTCAATGTGAACCTTTGTATTAGTGGTGATCAAGATTTACCTGCTTTAATTAATATTGAGTATTTTCATTCATAAATTCCAAATAATTTGTTATGTCAATATATATATATATATATATATATATTGTTGAGTGGTCTTCAAGCCAAGTGAAAAATTCATTGTATTCTAATAGAAATTAGTTCCCAAAGGGATAATTGTACCACTGAAAATTAATTTAGCGGCTCATAATCCACATGCAAAAGAATGGTGAAATGTTATTCCCCTTTATAGTTGACTAATTTCATTCATGACCTCACTCATCTCAAGTAAAACTTAATTACTTTAACAAATGTATATCTTTGTACATCTCTTCACTGCTTTATATTGGATACAATAACAGTGATTGGTGCTGTGTGAAAAATAATTAATTTATTTAAATAATTTTTTTTGTGTTTAAGATTTGGGTAGAGTGGAACTTATTAAATTACCTAATTTAATATATTTATTTGTACTTGTATAAAAGTTTGATTTTCTATAGCTTCAATTAAGTTAACAAATAAATAAACATAGTTAGCATTTAATTAAAACAGTTGATGTATACTTTAGAGAAGTATTGAAGGAGAAATGATGAAGTACTTAGGTTCTTGAAATTCAATATAAAATTAACTACTAGACAAGTAGATATAGAAGGATTAGTGGAAATGAATACTGTGTAAGTTTACACTAACAGATTACAAGCTTATTTTTCATTCAAATATGCTTGTAAAACATTGTACCTATAGTTTTTGAACCATTGACTGGCCTTGAATTGTTTATATTAGCTTAATGATTTTCAAGTACATACAGTTATACGCACATCTGTGCGCTCTCACATACAGTTTCAGCCAAGTTAATAATTAGTAAATGAACAAGCTAGCATTATTTAAAAAAATAGCATGTGCTTTGGTAAAATGTTGAAAGTGCAATAATGAAACAGTAATGTTCTTAAAATTTAATACAAAATGAATTGCTAGACAAGTAGATACAGGGGATCTGTTGTTATAGTTGAAGTGAATGAATGCTATGGAAGTTTATGGTAACAGATGGTAAGATTGATCAAAGCTATAAAAGATCAGACTTTCTTATAAATCTACATATATAAATATATCAAATTAAATAATGTAATAAGCTGGAATCTACCTAAATCTCTTAAATAAAAAAATTATTTTCAGAAATTAAATATTTTTCATCACTGTACCAATCACTGTTAGTGTATCCGAGATAGGTAGTATGAAGAAATACAAAGATATATATTTATGAAAGCTGATAAAGTTTTAGTTGAAATTAGTGATATAATAAATTTAATTAGTCAACTATGAAAACAAACATCATTTTATCATTCTTTTTCATATTGAACATGAGCAGCTAAATTAATTTCCAGTGGTACAATTATTGTCTATTAGGGAACTAATTTTTGACAGATTACAGTGAATTTTTTATTTAGTTAGAGGATCACTCAATACCATATATGTACATAGATACATTATGCAATGCATATAGATACATTGATACAACAAATTATTTGAAATCACGAATAAAAAAACCAACACTAAGTAAAGCATGTAAATCTTGATAACCACCAATACAAAGATTCACATTCACAATACACTACAGATGATAAAGATTGAAGATTCTGTATAAATTGAAAGTTGAACTATGTATATTAGAATATATGGTTGTACAATATTATAATATTATATAATAAATATTATAATTTCCTAAATTAACACAGTGAATACACTTTGATTTTGTTCCAAAACTGCATAGCTTAGGAATTGTAAATGGTCTAAAATATACATTTAGTAGAAGCTATTGTAAGGTTACAAAAAATTAAATGAACTTTATCATTGTGTTTTTCAAAGTTTATCATAAACCATAAACCATCACTTGCAGCAAATGGATAAAATAAGCCAAGATCATTTATAACAAAAACACGAAGAAGTTCAATTAAAGCCAATTTTTGTACAATTACAGTTTCCAACTAAACCCATTAAAGTTCATGCCAAAACTGAGTAAGATATTGTCCAACTGTCAAACAAATTACTAAAACTATTAGTCCGGTATTCACACGTATTTTTTAACTAGGTTTTCAAACTTATATGGAAATAATACATTACGATACAAGTGCGGGAAAGTAGACTTTGAAAGTAGACTTTGAAAGATTTATACTTCAGAGTTTCTCGTCTCGTGTACCTTTCCACCCTCGCTTCGCTCGGGCGTAAATGCCACACGAGGCAAGAATCTACTTTCCCGCACTTGTATCGTAATGTACTATTATTCGTACAATCGAGTATCGCTATTAGTTTTCAAAAGTTATCACTTAATTCAAATTATGTGAATGTATTACTTTAGTAATTTATTTAAATAATTTCTTATAAATAATTATAAACGGCAAAAGAAAAGCAGATATCTGTTCTTTTCTTTGTCATTTTTGACATAGTTTGGTTCTATCTTATCCAATTTTGACATGAGCCATAATGTGTTGGGTTAGTTACACTTTTTAGTATTACTATATACAAATAATAAATTGTTTTGTTTCAAAAGTTTATTCAAATGTATCATCATTCAAGAAAGTATGTTTATGACTTAATTGAAGCTGTAGTGTGACAGCAGATAATGCGATTTAAAGAAGAATAAATAATAAGTTAATAAATAAGCTGCATAAACATAACCTCATAGCTCATGTTTACATCAGAATTTGTAGATTATGTTTACATAAAAATTGAGAATACATTTTTATAAACTAAATGATATTATATTTGATTAAAATTTAATTTATATCAATATTATTTTTACTTACAACGGAACCACCCCAACCCGACCCTACCGATTTTAATGATTTTTAGATATGTTGTAATACTCGAAAAAATATTCGACACATGTTTTTTTTATCGGCTGGTATCCACTTTTAAGGGGTAAAATCCACCCCGGAAAATGGTTTTTAAAATATATCTCTACATCTAATAAATATTTTTAAATAAAATCATATCAGTAAAAACACCTACTTATAAGAACTATTGTGGCGTTGATTTTATTTAGAAATATTCATTAGATGCAGAGATATATTTAAAAAAACATTTTTCGGGGTGGTTTTCAGGGGTGGATTTCATCCCTTAAAAGTGGATGCCATTCCGTAAAACAAAAAACAAAAAATACAAAAATCATTCAAATCAGTAGGGTCGGGTTGGGGTGGTTTCCTTGTTAGAAAGTTATTATATTTAACGTTTGCCACAAGAAACCTTTTAATCCTCAAATTCTCATAAAATCACTTATTAGTATATTAATCACACTTTAGGTCTGATTTACACAAAACAGATGTAAGACTGTTTCATGCAAACATTATTTCTATCTGAATCTGACATCAGTATGTCATATGTGAATCGTGTTTGCCGTTGTGAGATAAGCCACTACGGATTGACGCTGTTGATTTCAGTTTGTTGTCTTGATAATTAAAATTTCTATAATTATTGATGAAACTGTAAAACACATCGAAGATAAAAAATACTATCATGTATACAATTACTTTAATAATATTTACAAATAGCGATCTCAAGTATATCCCTGCAACCAGTTTTTAACGTCAAAATATTCATGTGAGTATTTGAACCTATTATTACTTGTCAATTAAAAGATTTTGTACGTTATCAAAAAAAAATTTGTTTTTTCCAGACTTCAAGAATCAATATGCATTCTGCACTGATACACTACAGACCTTGGCCACAATATCAACAAATGTTATTAGAACAATATCCTTATTATCAATTGGTAACCCACGATATGCATTTACAATATTCTATGAATGATCATCAAGAAGAGAATTATGAACAGTCAAGAGATGAAATGCCATCTGAAGCATCAGATGATCAAAATCATAATGCTGATATGTTTCGGTTAGCATTTGCTGCATCTTCGTGGTCAAAATTGGTATTGAACGCAGAGGGACTTTTTAATAAATTAATGTCAACAAATGCTTTACCATCAAATGAACAAAATTTATTGAAAAATCAAATCGAACAGTGGCTTTGTATGAAACAAGAATATGAAGAGTGCATTGTTGGTGATGAGTCTGTTAGTTTACATGGTTACACAGAAAATACAAGAAGATCTTTGGAAAGAATTGAAGAAGTCACAGAAACCACTGAAACAGATGAAAAAACAGATGAATCTAATAATTGGGCACGTAAACAGCTACATGTCAGAAATAAAAATTGTTCAAGTTCTAGTTTGAATACAAGTTCAAAAAGTGAAACATATGAGACAACACCAGATGTAACTGATGACAGTGATGAAAGTGATGTTGACTCAGAAAACTCAGATTTTATTGATAAATTAGAAGAAAGTATGAAACAATTTGAAATTGATACAGATAATGTTGTAAATTCGATGAAGAATGGCACCCTAAAATCAAATGATATTTTCCCAGGAATTTATTGCTCAAAATCTAAAAATAGTATATCAGAAAATGATTTTAATTCAAGAAGTAATTCACCAGAACCGCATTCAGTTTGTAATAATTTTATAACAAGTGTAAAATTAAGTTCCATGAGTAAACAGTCAGCAAGGAGAGCATCAATTTTACCTAATTCTGAAATGAGTATCGAATTGGCTGAGTTTCAAAAGCGAAATTGCCAGAAACAGCTAAATAATAATATTAATCTTCAACAAAATAATAATCATGATCTTATATCTTTCAATTCTAATAAGAAGACTGAAGCTTACCCAGAGAATAACCAAAATTGTGCAGAGACATTAAATATAAATGTAAAATCTGAAAATATTAAAGTAGAATCTAGTTTAGCGATAGATTGTCAACATCTCAATACTCTTAAAACTTTAAGAATTGATATTATAGAAAAGCAATCAAAAGTGAAAAAAATTCAGTTCAATATAGATTTATTGAGAAAACAAATTGTAGAATTGGAAAGTGCAATTCAACGAAGAGAACTTTTTATTGAAGAAATAAAGCAAAACTCTGCTGCAAGAAATACTGCTAAGCAAAAATATCGAGAGTGGCAAAGCAAATATGAAGAAAAATATCGCAAATACGAAAAGCTACTCTATTGTAAGAAATCACAACGGAATGTAGGTGATATTTGGTCCTATCAGGAAGAAATGGATAAATATAAACAGTTGTTAAAACGATATGAAAAGAAGGTAAAAGATATTAAAAATCTCAAACAAATAGTTGATAATTCAGCGAAAACATTGACTTTTTCTAAAGCTGCTGTTAATAAATTTAGAAAAGAAATGGAAGTTTTAAAATTACAATTGAATAATGAAGAGAAGTATAAAGAAGAACTTGGTATTGAGATAGCAGAATGTCAAAAAAGAGTTAAACAACTTGAAGATGTTTATAATCTTACACCAGCTAACTTAAAAAAAATATTATCTGTAAGCGAGGATGGAAAAAATCATAGAATAATAGTTAAAAGCGATACGAATGAGTGTTCAACAGAAACAAATATTAAAAGCTTTTGTGTCAATGATTCTATAAGAGAAAAGTCAAATTGCAAAAATGATGATGACGTGGATGAAAAAGAAAGTCTTAGAAAAGAAATAAGAGAGCTGAGACATATTAGGGATTTATTGATAAAAATGCAATGTGATTTGTCGACTGTTAAAATGACTCCCACTACTAAGATTGAAAGGCATGTACTGCATGTAAGCGAATACATAGAATGTATCGATGCAATGATGGAAGAGAAAAATGTAATGATTTGTAGTAAAGCTGACCTAAATCAGAATAGATCAAATAAACTGGATGATAATATACCAGTATTTAATAGATTAGAAAAATTATCACATAAAGAGCTAGTTACATTAATTTATAAATACATTTACAAAGTTGTTGACCTCAAGGAGAGCTCACAAGAATTAGAGATAAATAATGCTAAAATGGAAGGTGATTTTAAAAGTTTACAAATGGATTATGAGAAAAAATTGCTAGATTTTCAAACAACTTATGAAAAGCACATAACAATGTTACTTAGTTGTTACCCTGATGAAAGTAGTAGTTCAGTTTGTGAAAGCAAGATAGACAGAAGCAGGGAAATCGCCCACTTATTGAAAGAAAATCATTCTCTGAAACAAAGAATAGCTAACTATGAATCATTAATTAAGTTTGATAAATCTGCATTAACTCAGGCCATTCAACCTCATTCCATTCGCAACACTAAGCCAGTATTTAAGCCATCACATCAATTGATGCATGCAGGACCATCACAAAAAGCTACTGTTTTCCGTGAAGGAAATAAATTAGTTTTTCAAAAATAGGCGATAACTTCTAATACTTAAATGTATTACATCAAAAAACTTTGCAGTGACTGTTTTATTTTGAATGTATATTTAATTTATTTATTACGTTATGACAAATTACACGCAAGAAATGATTAATAAAACGTAAAGAACTATATATAAATAAATTGTTATTAAATAATTTTAATATCACAAAAAGTAGTATTATAATATATAATTCTAACTGATATTCAAGTCGAAAAATTAAACGCTTATTAAGATACTAATGGTCATTGTCGTAACAATATGAAGTGAGAATGATCTTACAATTTGTATTGCTTATATTAGGTTGTATTTTTTACTGAATTACAAAGCGCTAGTGTTGATTGAAGCACAAATTTCTTCCATAAATAATATGCGTAATTAAACAGTATTAGCATTAACTAATTTTTCATCTAAATTTTTTTGTAAATATTTTGTTTGAATATACATATACTTCAATCATGTATGATAGAATGAAGAGCCATTTTACTTTTTATAAATTATAGTTTGGTTTCTTTATAATATATAATAATTTACAATTTAAGTGTATGTAAATAGCAAAAGTGTAATAATTAGATTATAAATGCGATCAACAATAAAATAACTTATCAGTAAATATTTTACTGTACGTTCAGTACCTAGTTTATAAATGTGAAGATTAATAAAATACTGCATCATATTTGCTTTTTATTTTCTTTTTATAATAAAATGTATAATAAAATCAATTTTATATTAACTACTATTATTTCATTTATGTTTCTTACCCTATTTACTGATTTACATATTTATATGATACGAAATTACAAAATTAGATTTTGTTATTTGTTATTTGTTATTGTTATTTCAAGAACTACGTCCGCGTGGAACGCTGCAGAGGTAAACTAAGTACCTGTACGCTTTAGTCTTGGTTCTCTATACATAATCATGAATATGCAGACTTACTTTTCCGATCATTTTTTAAATGGTGTAGGAGGATAAAGTTTAACATGCATTATAACTAGACCTACAGTTTATGGTGGAATCCGAACCATTGGAATCACGGTAACAGACATGAAAATATCATTTTTGAAAATCTTCACATGTCCGGGGCTCGAACCCGCGACCTCTTGCACGTAGAAACCTTAAAACCTATTACTCCGGGGAAGTAAGTATATAGAAAGGACGACTTTCGCACCGCCAATTTTATGTTCTTAATCGAATCTATATCGATCCCCAATCACGTACCTGAATTCTCTAATAAATCCCGCTGAAGCTTTCGATACAGCTTGCAAGCACAGCTTTCAAAGTGTAAAATTGAATGGTTTTGTGCGTATATCTTTCCCATATCAGTTCGTACAAAAAAATTGTAAAGATCGAATTTGTTGAGAATTCAACGTTTAATATGGTGAAAATCATTTTTGGAAAAAAAATTTTTTTCAACCCTTAAGGGGGTATCCTCGTGTAAATGGCGAAAAAAATCGATTTTTTTTGTGCATATTTTGAAAGTTAAACCTTTCAAAAGTATGCTGTTAAAATTTTGGAGCAAAATTCTAAGCGGTTTAAATTTTATGATCATTTTCGGAAAGGTCTGTCAGCGTGCGGAGCAGGTAAACAGGTGAGCGCTCTAACACAAAGGCACCCCATCGAGTAGGGACTCAAAGGTATACAATAAGATGTATACAGCCATGTTTGAAATATAACGTTTTTCATGTTTAGTATACTTTTGAGATGAGGTTGTAGAGTATAGCTTTCGAACTGCTAGTTTCGGCGCGATTACTGCAGCTGTTTCAGTTCTCTTGTGGCTTCCGAGTTATAAGCAAATCTGCACTTTTTACCATGTCTTCTTCGTATCCGAAGGGCGAGGGAGGCTCAAGATATCGTGCATCAGAGCGCAAAAAAAAGTTTTATGGAAACCGCTTTACAACTGAAACTCGCCAGTGCGAGTTCAAGAAAATTATCGTTGGCATCGGAGGACGAAATCACAATAAATAATGGGCACCGGTATCGCATCATTGAGTTTGTGACTATGTTCTCTGTATTGTCTGAATTGCTGTGCTGCAAATCGTGCAAAGGACCTGTAAAGTTTTTAGAAGCTGGGCACCGCGGCATAGGCTGGAAACTCGTTTCGTGTAGGTGTGGTGAAAGTAAAGTTGATTCAGGACCCTTCATCAATAATGGATTCGAAATAAACCGTCGTATAGTATTTGTAATGAGATTATTAGGTGTTGGCTTGAAAGGAATTAACTTATTTGCAAGTTTACTGGATATTGGCGAAGGTCTCAGTAAGAAAGCCTATGATGGTATACTGCAGCATATTTATGATGCCTCGAAGGCTTGTTTTCTCACAAGTTGTGATAACGCCGTCAAAGAAGAAAAGAAATTAAATGAGGAAAACAACAGACCACTGCTAGAGTTAAAAGTATCAGGCGATGGCTCGTGGAAGAAGCGTGGCTTCTTGTCAAAAATTGGTGTTACAACGTTGATAGCATACGAGACGGGAAAAATTATTGACTTGATTGTGAAAAGTACGCTCTGTCAAGGTTGCTCTACGTGTCCTTATAAAGAAAATACGCCGGAATATAATGATTGGTATGAGAATCACGCTGATGAGTGCAGTGCGAATCATAAAGGCTCCGCTGGTAAAATGGAGGTCGATGCCGTACTCGAAATGTTTTTGCGATCACAAGGATTACATGGTGTAATGTATACAGTTTATATAGGTGATGGCAACTCAAAGACATTTCTAGCCATATTGAACGAAAATCCTTACGGTGATGCCTATACAGTTACTAAATGTGAGTTCATTGGCCATGTGCAAAAGAGAATGGGCACAAGACTGCGCAGTTTGAAAAAAGCTGAAAAATTAGGCAGAAAGGGTAAATTCACAGATGCACCAATTACAAAGTTGACTAATTATTACGGATTAGCAATAAGGAGGAACGTGGACTCCGTTGAAGATATGAAGAAAGCCATAATGTCAACTTATTATTACATGTGCTCTACAGATGAAAATCCAATGCACGAAAATTGCCCTCCTGGAATTGACAGCTGGTGCGGGTGGCAATCATCACGCCTTGTAGGGGCAAATGTATATGAACATCCTCCAGCTTTACATGTTAACTTGCAAAAGCACTTATTACCAATTTACAAAGATCTTTCGAAAGAAGATTTATTGAAAAGGTGCTTAGGCGGTTACACTCAAAACGCCAACGAAAGTTTCAACGCGCTCGTGTGGCGTCTAGCTCCAAAACATTTACATTCTGGCCCTAAAACTGTTGAAATTGCTGCTTATATTGCTGATGTAGTTTTCAATGATGGATTCAAAGGCATTTTGAAGATGATGAGGATATTAGATTTGCAAGTCGGTAACGTTACAGCTAGTTATGCGAAAATAGTGGACCAAGAGCGAGTCAAGCGGCAAGATGCTCGAAGTGAGAGTTGCTCAAAAGAAGCTCGATTATTGAAGAAAATGAAAACTGCAGCGGAAAATGTGCACTTAGAAAAGTCAGAAGGTTTGCTCTATGGGCCAGGCATTGCAGGTAAATTCAAAAAATGGTTTTGAAAGTGAAAATATGAAAAAAGAAATTTTGATTTATTGCAAACGCGTTTTCTCGGGTTTCCTCGAAAAATGATTTTTCGAGTTTCTGCCGACGATTACTCCGCGAATTTTTAACGTATCGAAAAAAAAATACCATTTTAAAGGTAATTTAATTATCTAGTCGACAAACTAAAAGGATTTTGAAAAAAAATTATTATTTAACCATTTTTTTGCAATAAAAATAAAAAAAATTTTTTTAGTAAATTTTTTTATAATCGTAAATGTAGTTTATCGACGAGTTTTTCGTACTATAATAACAAAAAAATGTTTTTGGTATGTTTCAGATTGATACAGCGGTCATTAAACGTGGCACAAAACGAAAAAAAAAATTGTGTGTCCCTTCAATAATATATTAAGCTTCAACTATTTGTAATAATTGAAAAAGAAAATTTTTTTTTAATTTTTTTTTGTGAGAAGATCGAAGACCGGCTTCGGCCATATAGGGCGAACGTAGACTCTCGTCGGTCCACCGGTACCAAAGATTGACTGGGCGGTGTGCTCGTTCAACTTCGGGGAGAAACGAAGAATCCTATCCCTGATCGATGGAGAGTCCACAAGAAAAGCGAATGAGTGAGCAGACCGACGAGCAGCGCCGGGAAGTGATAATGAGCTTTGGGAAGAGACAGAAGAATGGCTCCAATCACGCGTATTTATGATTTGCGGCAGACTGTGCATCCCGCGAAAACCGAGCGCAACAAGCAGTGAAGTTGCTGCTTGGAACAGTGTGCCCTGATAGTCAGAGGGAAGACCGTGGACGAGAAGTTCCGGCTCGTCTGTGACTGCAAAAAGAGCATCTCTGACCTGGTGCTCCAAGCGCAATTGGGACCACAAATCGCGCATCTCTTGATGTCTGCCGGCATTTAGTTGGGCCTCTAGTTTGAACCACTCAGGTGCATCCGCCATGGTAGTAGAGTGATCTACGCCTTGATATGAGATTGAGTGCGACGATGATTGCAGGTGGTTCTGATTCGCAGCGAAAACGTTGGTTGCAGGAACAGAGGACTCAGGTGACGAATGATGAGGCGCAGTACAATGTTGCTTGGTTACAGACGACAATAATGGCTGAGTAGGCGAGGCTAGGCGTTTCTTGGCCCGGAAGAGTATAGATGGAGAGTGTCCGGTAAGCGTGGCGAATAGCGCGACTGTATTGGCGATCGATAATTGGTTGGAAGGTGATAAATCAGTACAACATATAAATTTAGTAGTTTTGGATATCGGCCTAGAATTTGGGGATATACAATTAAGGTGGTAAAGGGAGTTGCAGGAGCCGCACAAAAGAGATCTGTCGAGTCGTCGCAATGGATGGTAACACTTAGCACAGTCTCTAATTGACATTAAGAAATCGTAAGGGATCACAAGTTTAAGGTTTAGAGGATTAAGAGGGAGTCGAACTACGTTAAACTTAACAAGGAAATAAACTGGAGAGGAAAGAGCGAATTAACGTAGTCGAAATGGTCAAGATAGTATGTATGTGACAGATAGAAAATTTGGCGCGAACAAGAGTAAACGAGATCTGTGACTCCTACCTGCAGTTAGATGAAATGCAAGATATTTCGAAATTCGCGGGAAATTTGGAAAAATTCGCGGGAATATTAATTAGTAGAGGAACTTAACCTAAATGGCGCTCGGAATTATAAGTACTTAAAATTGGTCGCTTAATAATAAATTGCTGATGACTAACAGAAACAACAAAACAAATCACTCAGTCGAAAAGGTAACGATGACGGCTACAGGAGAAATTAATTAAGGGCGCAGCCGGGTAACGAGGCGAGAATTAGATTAGATAAGATGAAATAAAATTAGCGATTTTGATGTATCTCTCTCACTAAAGCGGTATGTAGGCGATGATAATGTGTTTTTTAGTAGCCGATGTTGCAGGAAACCGGTGTGCAGGAGAAATCAATGTAGTGCAAAATGATGCCAGATGATACCAGTAGCTGCTAAAGTCTCACGTCCATTTAGATTGAGATGGATCAGGTTATGTGACAATTGTAGATTGAGGTAATGTGTAATTCCAGGGCAAATTATGCACTAACTAGCTCAAGCCTAGGTAAAAAT